AGATACGACTTGTTATACCCTGTAATAGGGAAATATGAAGATCAAAAGGATGTTGATGTATCAAAAGTAAATCGTATGCCATTAATATCTGGAAAAAAACAAATAGTTGCTGGAGAACAACTTGTTATACCCTGTAATAAAAATATGTTAATAATAAGGCTTAGTATTAGGCATGAAATTAGTTTAAAGTCTTCTACATATCTCAGTTTAAATCTAAAAAAAACTCTATAATTTGGATTACGTTTTCGAACTTTAGGGGGTATCTCACGGTCGATTTGCTACCTAGAACTTTTGTACTAGTTTGAAAGTTGTAGTCGTTGCCAGCCAATTTGCCTTGAGGTTTTCTGACGACGAGCGACCCTCAATCAAGCGGATTGCAACCTGTGCGGTTGGCAAAACGAATCGAATCGAATCGAATCGAAAGATTAAAGATGAAAATAAAATTGATATTGACATTTCATTAAGCGAGAATCATTTAATGCGGCTCAATTTGAGGTTACTTCTTGATTGAGAAGCCAAGTCTCATATATGTACATATTATATATGTACACTCATGATGAAAATAATAAGTACACCCAAAAATTTTTGAAGATTCTGTCACAACTAATTAATTTGTGATATTTTTGAAAAAAACTGGATGGTAGCTTTAAGAGAGCAATCTGGCAATGTGATGTATGCCAAAAAAAAATTGTATTTCCCCTCAAAAAATGTTTTGCTAAACTAAACTCAAAAAAGTTTAATTTTGAGGGGTGTACCTATTATTTTCATCATGAGTGTATGTAGATTTGATGCTAGGTATTTGCCGCCCACGATTTGCCGATTCCGATTCCAATTCCAATTCCAAGTTCCATTCTCAATTCCAATTCCAGTTCCATTTACAGTTGCGTAATTGCCTAAATTGAAAGCGCCTTGAGGGGCTATCATTGTCATTGAGGCGCTAATTTGTCTCAGCGCCTGGGCGGACAAGCCCAACCACCCAAAATAATAATACCAGCTACGACATAGATCACATAACACATACATATGTATAATATGTATGCTCTATATATAGCACTCATGCTCTCAGCCTCTAATCGAGGCCTCGCTCATTTTTTGTTGCTTCTTATCAGTCCCGTCTCTGCGACTAATCTAAGTGTGTCGCACAGCAATTGGGCCTGGCTCTGCAGACTTTTTTAATTTCAATTGACTTCTCTGACATTGGCTCATCAGACGAAACTAAATATATATATATACATACGTATGTATATAGATTTATGTATTTATACATATGTATAGTAAACTCTTAAAGTATATCTGTGAAAGTGAGCTTGGAACTCTTGATAACAAAATTTCTGCTCTTATGTATATTTTGACATCGCTTACTATTTTATTTTATTTATTTTTATTTTATATATATTTATATTTATTATATTTATGGAAAAAAAGGAACCTATTGACAAACATTTTAGGACTATACATAGAAAATATTCAACGTGAAGGGAGTTCAATAAAAAAAAATATATATTTAGGACAAAAAATAATATAGAAAGTATTCAACATTAACAGAGAGTATCTATTGGAATCTATTTATTCATTTCGAAATAAATGAAAATTGTATTCTATATCATTTCAGAAAATAACAAAAAACATTATTAAAAAAAAAATTAAAAAATAAATAAATAAAAAAAAAAAAAAATTAAAAATTAAAAAAAAACTGTTGCAAAAAATGTCTTATACGTATAGCCCATCTTTATTGAATTGTGAATTGGAAAACAAGAGTTACCAATTGCCATAAAATAAATTTTCTTTAAGAAAAATATTAATGTAGGAATATATTTAAATGGCAAAACTAAAAATTACAGCTTACTTTGATTTCCCATTACCTAATTTAATTTTTTGTTTTCAAATTTGTTCCTCAATTCTCAAATATATATACAGTAGAGTCCCGGTAATTCGAAATGGGGAGGGGATCATTTTTTTTTGTTTTCGATTTACACAGAAAATAAACTATTGAGAATCATTGAGAACGAATTTCTTTGAAGGGGATAGAATTTTTCTATTGCGATTTTCGATTTAGCGTTGTATGAATTATCGAGACTCGACTGTATATACATAAACATATAAGTTTTTCTACTCTGTAATTATATATATATGAATTTCCAAGGGGATTGTATCGATAATCTGGCAGCGCACAGATTTCGGCTCTGTTTTATTATTGTATTCGACTTTACAAGCAATACGGCTAATACGGCTCATTGACATTTGTTAATATCGCATAACCGTTCTAAATATCGTATGTTGCATATTAACTGAACAGTTGGTTTTCATAGTGCGGATCGTTAACAGCAGCAAGTCAAGTAGCTGCATCGTTGACTGCCACTCAATGGCATCCAATTTCCTCAGCAACAACAACAACATCAAGCTGGGATTTCGATTTTGAATTCGAGCTCGATTCGTGACAAATGGAAACAGAAATGTTTCGTCTTCTTAATCTCGAATTGACGTCAGTTACAAATGTGTTTTGGCATCTGATTTCCTGCTCGAAAGGTTATAGGCTGATAATCGGCCGCGTAACGAGGCCACATCATTATTATGTAATATAATCTGTGCTATACCCTGTAATTGAGAGCACAATTACAGAGTTCGCTGGGAGCGGGGCAAAAGAAGATAAGCAGAAGGGAAATTGTTAGGAAATTTTTTGGAAATAGGCTGCCAACGCAGGGGATAAATAGTGGATTCTAGGGCATAAATAGTGGATATATGCTCTGTAGTTCTTTTTTTTTTTTTTTAGATATCTAAGCGCTAGTAGGAAGTTATCATGTTTGAATACCCTGCAATTTCAAAGTATTATATAAAAAATGGGGGTATATTAATATCTTAAAATATTTACACAGGCCATCCAAAGGACAGTCTTACATACCCTGTAATTTTGGGATAAACGGAAAGCTAATGAACTCTTCTTAAAAAGAATACACAAATAACAGTTGCACACATTGTATGCCCTATAATTTGTATTGTATAATGTTTATATTACGTAAGGCAGATGAGTCGCAATCTATAGCATTAAAATCATTTCTACATAATGATAACAAATCGAGCCTTTATTTGTACAATGTAAACATTTACGGAAAACTCTATAAATTCATAAGAGATGCAATCGTTAACAAGTTGAGAGGCTCTACTATCAAATCAGAAATCAGAAAAGTCTGTTAGTTGAATACTCTGTAAATTTAAGCTATGCCAGTGGAGAGGCATTTCTGCTGAAGCATTGACGTATCAAAGAATTGTAATACCTACTTGGAATACCCGGTAATGACGGGTAAACGAAGGTAAATTCTTTCCGATTGTGCGACTTTTCCAAATTACAGGGTATTTGATGCTGCATCAATCAAGCGGCTGCCTATGCCGGCGCTATTTCGAAAGGCGAGAGGTCAATAGCATTGCCTGATACGCCCAGACGCCCAGCGACGAGACGCGATGAGACGGAGACAGGAGTCGCATGTTCGAGAAGTTCGGCGCGCTGCAAAGATGAGGAAGGGAAAGAGTGAGACGCGAACTGCATCGGGTATGCTGGAGGGAAGCAACAGCAGCAGCAGCTGTTCAAGGTCACTGCCAAGCGTCGGCAATGCAATGCGAAGCGCTCTGCAAAGCGCACCAGCCGATAAAAATAGAAGCGCAGACAAAGGCAAAGCCATAAAAACGGAAATAGATCCAGACCGAGACAGAGACCAAAAACAAAGCTATGGAAAAATCTGTAGAGTCGCGACGCATTGAAATTTCCGGGCAGTAAAAACCACATTAGAACGTGCCACATGTTACACACACACACACACACACAGACACATAGAGACATAATAAAGAGTGTAAACAACCCTAAAATTCCTACATCGCATTACCCCTAACCCCTAGCTCGTTAGACTATTTATGCTCTACCAACGGGTAATTCGATTTTTCTATGTAAAATAACAGTGATATGGGTTCTATGAAGCATATATACATATGTCTATATATAAATACGAATCAGGCTACAACGACGGTCCCTTAAGCGTCCTTGATGTTATAACCAAGGAAGGAACGCTATCAGTGAAGTCGTTATAAGCGGATTCTACTGTATATATAGATTAACGATATCTCGTTTAGGTTTTCTTTACTCAAAGCCTTAACAGTGCGATTCATATATAATGAAACTCTTTGATCTATTGTAGTTACATGTATTTTTCTACAATGTTACTGCCAATTCTATATCAAGCTAAACCATATCGTATTTTGCGGTTCAGACTTTGATTCCTTTTGTGGTTCGTTTACTTTGCGGTTCAACACGCGCGTTCCAATTGCATTTGCACTTACATACATATATATATATATATATATATATTTATTTTATGGCCTAGCTTTACATTCGTTACAAAGAAAAATAGATTCTTTAGAAACATTAATGGTTTTTTGTTTTCTGTCGATAAGATTTCTTGTTAACATTTTTAAAAAATATTTGTGAGTAGTTGAACAATAAATAAATGAATAACCTCTAATATTAACTTTCATTAAATATTGAAAGTAGTTTTTTTATTTTATTTATTTATATATGTTTTTTTCTGCTATTATATTTTAAATTAAAGATCCATATTGTTTTGCACATATTATTATTTAATGTCTTATGGAAATACATTCCAAAAGGCATATTAAAAAGTTAAGCTAATATCACTAAAATCCCCTAGGAACAAGAACTCGTATAAATTTATCACTGTAATTAAAGTCCATTTTATTTTATATATTAAAATTTTAAAATTGTCAATATTTTCATCTATATAAATATATTTAAGTTTGATTTTTCAACTAGAATCTCCGAGAAATGTGTTAGGGTATTCCATTTGCGTTTTTCGATGGTTTCTTCCTTGTTCTGTTTGCTGTTGCCCAAATACGTTAAAATATCCGAATGCATTTTTCGCTTCCTGGAAATCGGGTGGGTTACACATATATATATATATATACAAACATATATATATATATATATATATATATATATATATATGTATGTATATTGAATGACGCGTTTCGCCCTTCTTCCGTGTTGCGGGTGCGAATTGCGTCGTTTGCTTTGTGCGCTGTTTCGGGCTGCTGCGACGTCATTTCGAGGGTTGCTACCCCCATTACGCTTGATCCTGCAGATAGAGAGACATACAAAAAGAGAGAGAGAGAGAGAGAAAACGAGCTGGAGAGCACAGGTAAAGAGCGCTTTCCTTTGTCCTTTGCGTACTGTACTGAGATTTTGAGTGAAAATTTTCACTCCCTCTCTCACTCTCTCCCTCTATCGTTCGCTTCTCTCTTTGTTTTTTGTGAGTCGAACTGACCTACGCCGTATGCAATTCGTGGTTGCTATTTCGTCATTGCTCCAGGAGTCGCATTTTGATACCCGGAACAAAGACACAAAGGCGACGCGGAAATATTCCCATGCTACCCCAAAACATGGAAACCGGAACAAAGAAATTTGATTTGACGCGTTTCGGTTGGAAAAGTAAGGAAAATTAAATCGAAAATATCAAACTTAAAACTAGATATAGATATAGATATAGATATAGATATAGATATAGATATAGATATAGATATATATATATATATAGATATAGATATAGATATAGATATAGATATAGATATAGATATATATATATATATAGATATAGATATAGATATAGATATAGATATAGATATAGATATAGATATAGATATAGATATAGATATAGATATAGATATAGATATAGATATAGATATAGATATAGATATAGATATAGATATAGATATAGATATAGATATAGATATAGATATAGATATAGATATAGATATAGATATAGATATAGATATAGATATAGATATAGATATAGATATAGATATAGATATAGATATAGATATAGATATAGATATAGATATAGATATAGATATAGATATAGATATAGATATAGATATAGATATAGATATAGATATAGATATAGATATAGATATAGATATAGATATAGATATAGATATAGATATAGATATAGATATAGATATAGATATAGATATAGATATAGATATAGATATAGATATAGATATAGATATAGATATAGATATAGATACATAGACATAGGCATAGGCATTCCACCCACCCACATGCCTTTGGCACGGGCGCTTCCTCAATTTGTATCACGTGGCTAAATTGGGGCCGAGCTTTGGGTTGGAATAGCTAATAAATTGCAATAAATGTTGCATGAGATGCAAAGTAGATGCATATGGAGCGAGCTAAGGAGCTGTTTCGGTGACAAAAGTGAAGAAATATGCAACATTTGCTAATCCGCACAAATTAAATGCAATTGAAATAAATTTCACATGGGCCCAGAAATTGGCAGACTTCTTTCCCCAAGCAGGATGAGGAGGTGGAGGAGGGGGCAGGGAGGGGTTATGCAACAAGTGTGCCAATTGCATAAATTTATTGGCAACGAATTCCGAGACGAGCCACAGGTCGCAGCAGCAGCTCCATAGCAGGTCCGAGCATAGACCGATGCCCAGTCTCATTGCCATGCCCAGCCCATTCCCATGGCTATGCACCAGCCCCAACCCCAACCCCCAATCGCAACTCGTTTCGCTTGGCTGCAACGGTTCAAAGTGTTAATTCTCGCATAAATTTCGATAATTGAGGTAAATTGTCGCCGGTGCCCGGAACATTCCCAAGGATTGTCTTAAGTTACGCACTCAATATGAAGAATATGATAAATAAATATGCATTTATAGAAAAAATTAAATATTTTTAGTGCGTGTTTAGTTTAGAGGAAAATCTATAAACTAGACTTAGTAACTTCAGCTCTTATAAACTACGAGCTATGCTTGAACAAGCTATAGAAAAATTTTAAAATTCCATTTGGTATAAGTTCTCGAAGACAGCAAATCATATTCCATGTGTCTTCTCTAAATTTTTAATGTCTAGTTTCTGATATCTACAAACAGAAGAAATAATTAAAGAATTTTGCTAATTAGATTAGTTACAAAAAAAAAAAAAACTCTAAGCTTTTACCTCAAACAGACATAAGCATTTTACTGGCTTGAGCCTTATACATATAGTCTCATTTGGTATGTATAAGAGAACATTGATGATCAGTTCGTCGGTATACATACATATATGTCCTATATGGACTTTATCTTTCGAGACTTACAAGTGATTTAGGGTACTACGAAAGCTAGAGACTTGAATCATGGACTCGACTATATAAGTTGAGATATATTACTATAGACAATTGTCTATAGATATAGTTATATAGAAATTTATAACTTTACGGGGTGTTCCAATTTCGGAATAAATTAGGCTATTTTTAGACCGTGAATGAGTTTTGTGTAAATCTATTTCTTTTAAAGCTCCAAATTATTCCAAGTCATATATAATAAAGCAATTGAAAATGTTTACGGAAATACGAAATTAAAAAAATTTAAAGAATTTAGCTCGTAAACCCTTAAAAAATCTATGTGTGAGTTTGCCAAAAAGAAAAAAAGAATTGATATTGATTTCTCTCATTTCAGATGTGAAAACACTCAACTCAAACATGATGTGCTGTCCCTATGCTATCTACAAACTAAATTTATACTAACCTGATGGGTCAAGATAAATGATTTCTGGATGGAATTCAAAGTGTTTGTATGGGAAGACAAATAATATCGTTTTGCTGCCATAAAAGGACTTCACACTTCTTATCATTTTTTATTATAGTCTTGCATTTATTTAATTTTATTGTTATTTTTATTTTTGGTCTGGTTATCTTGGTTGGCTATCTCAATATGGATATGGCCAAAAAGACGACTCAATAGGGGCCAGAGAGTAGAGAAACCTGTCATACCAGTAAGCTGGTTCTTTGGCGACGAACACGAAAATGTTAACGGTCATTCACCAGGGCGAAGAGCGAGACAGAGAGACGGAGAGAGAAGCGAAGTGAAGTGAAGTGAAGCGAAGCGAGAAGCTAAACAATACGAAAAGAAAACAATGCCCAGGTCTACACAATTATTTATTATACGATCTGCTGCTGCTGTTGCTTCTTCTTCTTGTGCTTCTCCTTCTTTTTCATTTCGTTTCTTTTGACTGGAATTTTTGTTCGATTCCGCTTTGTCAGAACTTCGAGAAAAAAAAAAAGAAATACCCAACGAAGTTTTGGGGAATCAGAAAGCGAATCACTTGATATGCAAAGCAGAACAAAGGAATAAAGAACAAGACGTGTCTAAACCGTATTATGTGACATATTTAGTCGATTTCAATGCCCCCGATTCAGCAACAACAATCGAATCGGAAAGTAACGTTTGAACATGTTCTCTTTTTTATTATTATTTATATATTTATATCTTTGCATTGATTTCAACACTGAAATGCACTGATATTAAGATTGAAATACCCTTTTTTTTTAACGGTGACATAGAATAAATATGTTACATATGAAATGAATAAAGTAAAAACAAAATTTGAGAGAGTATTTATTGTTCAATTAGATATACGATGTCGAGCTAAACTGAATGGTTTCCTGAAGATATATGATATGGTAGAGGTATTTCACAAAATGCAGAAATATCTGAGATGTGATTCAGTTAAAGACTTTATATGAGATGGTCGAGGTATTTGACTGCAAAGGTTTAGTTCAGCACAGTGCAGCTGGGTCAAAGAAGCTTAAAGCTACATAGTTTTCTGTATTACTAAAAACAAAAATTAAAAAAAAAAAATTTTGTTTATAATTTTCTCTAAAATATGAGACATATGAGTAAGGATACTATTAACGTTGACATATTCTCACTTTTGTTTTTCTAAAAATTTATTCAGGTGAAAAATTATTTTTTATTTTTTTATTTATATTTTTTTTTTATATATTTAAAAAATATAAAAATATATTTATGGTATTTATTACTTTATAATACAATCTGAATAAAAATGATTTCCTTTTACATTTTTTATATGTAAATAATTATAAATAAATATAAATAGAACTCTTTTTCAGGATTAATTTAGAAAATAAAAAATTTAATTTCTTCAAGAGAAATTATTTGATTTTTTTTTAATTATTTGCACGATAAGTGTTTTCCCCAATACGACACATATGAATTAAATAATTTTACCAAATTTCTTTTCAAAATTCACTTTATGGAGTATTAGAAAAAAAAAATGCAATTCGATTTCATCTTCAATCCGTTTAGGGTATTCGCAGGCTAGGCATTATTCAGACAGCTCTTCCATCCAGTTTTATTTGACTATTGGCTCAACTACTTAAGGCGACAGCAAACACATGTTGGCTGACAGCAGCGCAGAAGGGGACGCGCTGCAGGTGGCCAGTAGGAGGGGTTGCCACAGACTCAACTCAATTCAACTCGTTGGCATTGACCGCAAAAAAAAACAGCAAATACTAAAAAAAAAAAAAAAACAAAATGACAAAATAATATATATAAATACAAATAAATAAAAGGCAAAAAAAAAAAAAGAATTAGAATTAGAAACGAAGTAAAATATCAACTAATTGGCAACAGCTCAGGTTGAGCAGGTGTCATAACTAACCGACATGTCCACCAATAAGGCAATCGAATATTATTTGCCACGTCTTTGCCACAGCTACAAATTGACATCGTCGACCAAATAAGCACAGCATTCGAGTATGGAGCTTGTAAGTCAGGATTGCTGTTCAGATGACCAAAATGAACATATTTGTCAGCGTTTTCATGTCGTTTTTCAGCTTGGGAAAATGTGAAGCGGATAAGCTAGTAGGGCTTGACGGTGGTTAATGATATAAATGCGATCTGAGCTCATGGAGTGCAAAACTCTATCTATCGTGGTTACATCTGGCATGTTAGTCTCTTTTAAATGGAAAAATATTTTAAATAAGATTCAGCTTAAAGATTTACTGAAAGAAAGGAAAAACGTTGTAGTGGGTTGCTACCGACTGCACAATACTCATTCAATTGAAATGCAAATTCAATAAAGACTGGACGTTAGGAACATATTTCTGAAATAAACGCAAATCCATGAAAGAGGGTCGCTTGTGGTCCAATTCGGTGGCGTTTCTTCAGTTGAGTCGGCACAGGCCGACGCGGGTAGCCTCCTATTACAGTCTCTTACTACGGTCTCCTGCTACGGCCTCTTAATGTCTCCTCTTAGAGTCTCATACTGCAGTCTCCTGCTTGAGTCGCTTTGTAGTCTGTTGCGTAAGTTTTCTGGCCTCGACCGAGATATCTTTACAAAATTTCTATAAAGAGATCCTGGGGAGACCTAGCTTCCCTAGACCTAGACCCTACAATATACCATTAATTGGGGAGCTTTTAAAAAACAAATATTTGCATTTATTCAGCAATTCCCTCTCGAATATGGAGTAGGATTTCCTTGGCCAATGCTCTTTTATGAAATGTGCTTGTCGTACTTCAATTGGAATTTATAAATGCATAGCTCAAAGGTATTTAGTTTCAAGAAATCTTGAATGGTTTGAACGTAAGCTATGTAACACATATGCAGCTGTGTTCATGAAAATAGTTTGATAACGAAATTTTGTGATAAACATAATATTTTGAAAAACATATTGAAAGTAATATTATGATTAAAATTTTTTACATATGTTCTTTTGTCACACGTTCAGTATCATTTGCAAGGCTTGAGAATGAAAATCAAAATAAAGTGTAGAAAATTTTTTTACAATTATGCCTAGAGATTTCAATTTCAGCAGTATATCTCAGATATCTTAGGATCTTGTAAAGTGAAAGCTTCAAAAAATTGATCACAGCTTCAACGTAAGCAATTGATATGGGAAAATAATTAGATTTTTTTTTTTTTTTCACATCCATATACAAGTCAATGTATGCACAAATGAACTGTAAGCGAAGCTTTCGAATTTGCTTTGTTTCTGTGAACGTGACCATTTAAATGTTGAGCTGCCATGGAATACCCTGTCCCAATTCATGGACATGAGATATGGTCGAACGCTAGATCTTTGAGCTGTGAATGAAAAACCACAGCTGTTGGCCACATTCGGCCACGCCCGCGGCGTTGCGTGTCAATCCGAAAGTGGGTCAGGCCAGACCGCAGTCAAGAGTGGCTCGACGACCAGTGTCAAATCCAAAGTCAAGATAAAGTCAGAGACAACGGCTCGACGGCTGACAGTCAAATTGAAGGTGGGCGCTGTTTGACTGTTTCAGCAACTGCCACGCCCCCGCAGCTCAGCAGCCAGTTGGATGGGGTGGCCAGGGCCTGGACAGGTTTTAAAAGCTTTTACCCATTTCTAAACCTGTTCACATTTTTTGTGAATTTGAATATTGAAATTTCAGTTCGGAACCAGTTCCAAAACCAAGGCCAGTAAGACGCAGAACAAGAACCCTAAAGTATCGTATCAAAATTTATATATATATAACTAAAAAAAAAAAAAAAAAAAAACAACACATCCATAACAAAATAAATTGTAATGACAATTATAATTAATTACTTAAGATATAATGAAGGTACAACGCACGAGCAGCTGTCAAACTGGTAGTGTGGCGCCATCTATTGGCGTCTGCACTGGCGCTGTACCGGCTCCAACTGCCGCCCGATGATGCAGCAGGGGCGCATCCACCGTGTCGAGTCTCTCCAATAGAGGATATTTGCCGGAACTGCCACCGGCTGCTTCGCGCTCGCGTGCCTTATAATCGTTGATATCGTTGTCGTGTATGGGACTGTTGGGAAACTCGCTGGCCAAATGGTAGACGACCTTCTCGAACAGAAACTCCGATAGGTTGGTGCGCAGGAAGAACAGAAACATCCAGTTCGAGAAGTTACACTTCTCGATAACAGCTTTCAGATCAGATCCATCCAGTTTGCCTGGCTTGGCCCAATACAGCGATAGTCGGGTGAAGGTGACACTGGAAAAGGTAAGGAATTTGTTTAATCTATGTTGAACTAGTTCATGATAAAGTTTTTATGGTTGGCAAATGAAAATTGCGGTCTACGACTTAAAGTCTGATTTGGTAAAAACGTTGGAGCCCTTAGACCCTTTGAGCCTAAGACTCTTACACTCTTAAACCATTTGACTCCTAGACTTTTCGATTTATACCACGTTCTACCCTTAGACCATGTCCCCTTTTGATTCTTAGACTCAGTATTACTGATATATAAATATAAAAATATATCTTTTAGTGATGGCATTCATTGAACTTCTTGTAAAACCCTCGGAAAAGTTTGTGTATGATATACATATGTACATAAGTATTTTTCAAAAATAATATTTTTATGACCTTCGAAAGCTGATTTTTCCTAGAGTCTGTCGAGCAAGGACTGGCAGAAGGACTAAAATATTAAGGAATCAGCAGAATGTAAAAAAAATAGCTTTTTCAACTTACTTCTTGTAGAAGAAGAGCGTCAGGAGTCGCCAGATAAGACCCAGCACGGTGATTGTGAATAGAAAGGCATACCAGAACCAGAGTATAGTATAGATCTTCTCGTTCATGATGTTGAGGGCCATCACGCAGAGCGTGTCGTGCTCCTGGAGTGAGCCAGCCGCGCCATATTTGAAGAAAGTGCACTTGGTGACCTTGGGAAAGACAATATCGAGCGCGTCCATTTTATCGACCCAACGCTCGCGTAGCACCTTAATGCCTAACGTGAGGAACTGACGACCCAAGAATCGATGGGTCAAATAGATCTGACAGCACAGATTCAACAAGTTTAGCATTTCAGCTGTGACGAGATGTGCGCCCCACGATTGATTCAAGCGCATCCGATCGATCATCGTGCGTCGTATGTTGATCACACGATCCTCTACCTCGGCCATCGAGGGTATATTCAGCTTGCCGATGCGCAGGCTGTCGCTATTCAGATATTTGGTCAAACCGACCATACGCAGTCCATAGACCAAGGCCTTGATGCGCCCACCCTCCCAGTACTTCCAGATCGCGTGCGGGGCGTAAAAGCAAAGAGCCTGCCCAAATAGCACAAACGGCACCCATTGATAGTAGGCGTGGCGCTTGATCTTGTCTTCATTGCGATTGTAGGGTCCAATGCCGGGCTGAAAAACGGAGCCAGAATCCAGAGCTGTGTTGTTTAAGTGACGCACCTGTCAAAAGGAAAGGATTATTGATTAGGCTCGAGTCGGTGTGGAAGTAAAATAAGATATGGCAAAGGAAGGCAGGAAGCAGATAATCT